TTTCACATGTAGTGCAACTGTTTTTGGAGTTTCAACAGAATCCATGCAGTTATCTTATGACTCAAGAGGGAACAGTGTGCCAACAATTCTGCTGTTAATGCAAAGGCATTTATATGCTCAAGGAGGGTTGCAGGTTGATAACTTAGTTTTGTCTCTAATTTTCTCATGGTGCTGATCAATATTGGACCCAATGTGCATGACACAATCAAAATAGATAGTCCTGCTTTATAATTCACTACCCTATGAGGCGTTGTTCATTTTACAAATCACAACTTTACTGGTCCTGCTTGGTTAAGAAGTTGAATTTACACATGCAGGTGGAGGGGATTTTCAGAGTTAATGCGGACAATAGTCAAGAGGAACATGTTAGGGATCAATTGAATTTGGGATTGGTCCCAGAAGGCATTGATGTACATTGTTTGGCAGGACTAATTAAGGTATAACATTGCAAGTTGATTGCCTGTGGTTCCTCTGTTCCTGTCCATATTTCTACATGCTTGTTTAGTGAATTGATCTGAATGATCATATTGAAAGAAAGAAAAAAGGTCTCTTTTGTGATATGATAATGGTAAATAGTTTTGCTTGCAGAATTTATGACTTTTAAGCAAAAAGGACCTAAAACCATTAAATTTTTTTAATATAGATCTAACAAATAATAGAATCATGTATGTATAGAATTAATTCAACATGTAATTGATTGGAGAAAGGACCTAATCAATGTCAAATGGTTGGCTTTCTAAGTCTAATAAATGGGACAAACGAACATCATTTCCAAAGTTTATTTGACTGAACAGTGCCACATTGCATGTCCAGATTGCTTTAATGGATCATATGAATATTGCAGTTGTCTAACCATACAATATTTGGGACATAGACTAGCTGGTAAGTTGGGAGTCTGGAACATCCTGAAGTTAGGAAGAGATGGTTAACTGTCATTCCTATTTGTCTATTTTGACTCCTCTCTAACAAACTTATTTTTTATCATTTTCCTAAAATGTCCTTTGTTGTATAGTTAAATCAAACCAGTGTTCTGTTGCAACTCCTATAGTTATCCAAATTTCTAATTAACAATTGTAATAATTTTTTAAATGTAGAAAATCACTTCCTAATTACAGTATTAGCTTTTCTTTTTAATTCAATGTGCCTTAAGCCTGTTGGAAACAGATGTCTTATGATCCTGTTGTTGTACTATTTTTCTGTCAAGAATTTAAATATCACCATGCATTTGCATCTTTGAAATGATGCAGTTAAAACAATTCTATCTCTTCCTTTTTCATTGCTTTTAGACAAGCCCAATGAGAACCTTGATTTTTCTATTTGCTTTCCATTCTCCATGTATCATACGCTAGTGAATTGCATCCATATCAACCTCTGCTGCTGTCTGAACCTTCCAACTTAGCTACTGCTAGCCACTACCGACCTACAAGTGTCTTTAGGACAAATATTACAAGTTTCCAAACATCGTAGTTCAAGTGCTACTTGGCGAACCTATAGCACTACTTAGTTGGGAATGTCACCTTGATTGGTGTAGTTTTGTCTAAGCATGTAACCCATCTTAAATCATTCCCATTTAATTATACTCTTGTGCATAGCAAACCGTCTTGTTTAAGAAGAGATGTAAGGTACATCCTAGGCAATATTACTTATGTGATTACAATCTATTATTTGTTAGTGATTTTGTTTTGGCATGACGAAAATATGTATTGTGTTAGTAATTTAGTTTTATGTTCTTGCACTTTTCAAGGCTTGGTTTAGGGAACTTCCTACAGGCGTTCTAGATCCATTATCATCAGAGCAGGTAATGCAATGCCAGACTGAGGAGGAATGTGCTGAACTAGTGAGGCATCTACCTTATACTGAAGCTGCACTCTTGGACTGGGCCATCAATCTGATGACTGATGTTGTCCAACAAGAACATCTTAATAAGATGAATGCACACAACATTGCCATGGTTTTTGCACCAAACATGACTCAGGTATGTTCCTATAATTTTTAATTCTCAAGTGATTGCAGGGAAGAAAAAATGTACTATATATATGTATAGAATATATAACTCCTATATATTTTATTAAATTGAATGTACATCTTGGAAATCCAATAAAAGTTTTCTTCTTTAGGAAAGTATTTTCTGCACTATCCTGACAATACTTTTACCTTTAGTAAAATCCTTACTGTGTTGTGTTTTTCCTGAGTAAAGATGCCAATGTGATATCTGATGGTAGGTTTAAGTCAATGAAAGTATTTGATCTTTCTGATTGCAGATGGCAGACCCTTTCACTGCATTGATGTATGCAGTTCAAGTGATGAACTTCTTGAAGACACTTATATTAAGGACACTGCGGGAAAGAAAGGATTCTGTGGTAGAATCTTATCCTAGATTTTATTTAGAACCTTCTGATGAGAATGTGCAACATAAACTTTTGGAGTCCTGCCAGCAAGATACTGCTACAGAAAATGGAGAGGCTCAGGAAAACTTTGTTTCAGATAAAACTGTCTTAGAATGTTCCTCTGAATCCGTCCAAAACAACTCCTCAATTGAAGGAGAATCTTGCAGTTTGGTTAGCTCTTCTGAGAATCTAGTTTGCAATGAGGATTTGTATTGTGAGTTTCCACCCAAAGGAAACATGGGGAAGAGTAAGACTGGTCAATCAGGTAGTTCAAGTGCTAGAAAAGGGTCCAAAAAAACCAAAGGCCAGCAACCTGTGATCCATGGAACAGTGTCTATTGAGAAAAAGGGAATTAGGAGCTTGAGCCGCACAGAGTCAAGATCTGAGGGACAGAAGCCTGGCGGTGAAAGAAGCAATGGAGTCTAAATTGATTATTTGACATTGTGGCATTGTACGTTTGTTTAAGTCTGAAGCTGCAAATTTCTAGGGGAAGTTTGTGAAGTGGTTTCTGTATGTTTTCTTTATTTCCTGGGTTTTCTTAACTTATCTGATTTCAAGGATAGCACTATGATCACACTAACATTGTAATGAAATCTCATTCCCTGTGTGTTTACTTATGTTCATAATTATTCTTTAATCATAAATTCATCTGTCACGGTTGCACTTTTTAAAGTACTTATGGATCCTTATCTACTAATTTGGTTTCCTGCAAGTGTATGGCTGATACAAAAGGATTGGCATAATCTTACATAGCTAAGATGTTAATATGATGTGCTACGCGTTTAGGTGTTAGTGGAATCTTTTTCTCTTGGACCATAATAGTGGAAATAGAACTTTACTACAAACTTTTATGAAAGCAAAAAAATTGTATGACTGATTTGGGAGGCATCATGTTCACAAAGTTATACCAATTCTATGACGTTTTGAGGAGGTGGGAAATATCAAGAGGAAAGAAAACCACACAACTAAGAAACTTTTAAAGTTAAAGAAAAGGTTGCAAGCTACTTTCCCACCAAAACGCATCTATTGGTTATTTGTATGTATATTGGGATAAAGAAGTAAAAGGGAGAGCTGCGTGAAAACCAACCATTTTCCTAGAAGGGAGGGTGCAAAGTAATGTGGTATTGATAGAACTAGAAGGCATGCTTGCATAAGTTCTTGGTTCGTGGCAATTTTGTTCTTTAGCCTAATCCTTGTGCAGAAAGCAAAATGGGATTATAGTGTTTAATAGTGCTTTACTTAGAGTAAAAAGTGAACCAATAGATTTGTGCATTACCAATTACATAGAAAAAAAAAGCTTATAGGAGACTGCAGACTACAGAATAGATTCATCTTAAGGACAGCACCTGTATTATTGTGAGAAAGATAATACCGTATGAACTAAGATTTCGTGGTCTTATCATCCTGAAATTGCATGGCTTAACTTTGGCCAATGCAAACTTGATACTGTGGTACCAAGGGTCACATGACACTGTACATAAGCATGCCACGTTGCCTGAAATATTCAATCGTGCAGAGCCACTTGGGCAGCTAGCAAGTGGAAGTGATTAATGAAATGTGTGATAATTTAAGGATTGGAGAGAAGGGTGTGGTTGTATTGTATCTGCACGTGTACAAATAGTCTTGCCCCATCACATCAGTGTAATCTGGACGGCACCATGACAGGATCGAATCATTGCTCAAAGTTTGCCCTTTACATACCAAGAAAGTTTGTCCCTTATTTCTTTCCCTAAAGAGGATGTTTAATTATATCACCATCTGCACAGGCAAGCTTAATGGTTATACCTTTTTATATATTTAGGTAGAAGCCTAGAAGGTTAAAAGATTTGTTGTCTGATGCAATTCGTGTATTACACCCAAGACTGACACTTTTGTTTTGGAAAATATCAAGCCATGAAGTCATTTCCATGACCTTGGAACAAAGTAAACTTTAAGAATCCACCTCCAAAAGTCAAAAGAAAGTATGGTAAATTAAGATAACTATCTGTTAGAATTAAATATCCACATAAATACAAGAGACAATTAGACTTGTGTATCTACAAAAAAAACTTTTCTTTTCTATTCTTGCTTTCTCGCTCTTTTTCTTTTTCTCTTCATCTCTTGATCTACTAACTATCAAAGGCTATTTATAAGCTATAAAACTGACAAACATAACTCCACACATAACACCCTCATTACTTATAACTGACATAACTGACTCATTAATATTCTAACTGACACAAGAAACTAAATAACCAAAACTGCTAAAAAACGGACATTTGAAATTTATCCCAAGACTATCGTTCATTTAGCTTACTAAAGTGGAATAAGATATGGTAAAATTTCACCTAACCTTATCAGATAAAAATCTAACTTTTGTATCTGTCCTCCCCCTGCATGACTCTTCCCTCAAAAAGCATAACCAACCATTTATATGCCATTCCAACGGTAAAGGGAAGGTACCAAAAAATCAGAGCTTCCTACTATATAATAGCATCTTCCTCTTGATTTTTTCACATGCTATTTTCATACCTCTTTTCCCTCTCTCTCTCTCTCTCTATATCTCGCTCAACCATCCTAAGATTTTTAACACCCTTCCTTTCTTTCTGTGTTGTTCTATAGAAAGCAAAGCAAAGCCATGGCAGCATGTGGGAGCCTGCAACACATCTTCGATAACATATTGCCAGAAAACCCAACACTACTTGAATCCCTCTCAACAAACCAAATAAAACCTATAAAATCCATAGAACAAGCCTCATCCTTTACTGAGATATTTGGTGAACTCTATTTCAAGGAGAGTCCTGTATCATCACCCTCATCTTCCCACGTTTCTACTTCATTATCAACAGAGATAAACCACACAAAGCTCAACCTTAATGAACGTTCAGGGTCTTCTGATATTAGCCAAACTCCATCTTCAGCCTATGTTTCAAGCACCCCAATAAGAAACCACACCAATAGGCACAAAAGTAGTGAGAGCTTTTCATCCTTGAGTTCTGAAAGTTTGCAGCTTTGCACGGAGGGTCTTGGTTTCGAGAGCTCAGATGATGTTGAATACTTGAATGAATGTTGGGAAACTCATAGTGAGAAAGAGGGTGTGAAAAAGCATTTATCTTCAGAAGATTCTTATGGTGAATGCAGAAGGTCAAGGGTCAATGGGGGAGAGTATCCTCCTCCCATATCATGCATGGGGAGGAATGGGAAGCCTTGGGTTTGCTTTAGGTCCTATAGGAGTGATGGGAGATTTGTCCTCAAAGAAATAAGAATACCCACTCAGGAGTTCTTGCATGCTTATAGAGAAGATGGAAGGTTGAAGCTTCACTTTGTTCAGCCTGATGATGAGTTTTTAGAAGAAGAAGATGATGATGATGATGATGTAGAAGGTATAGATGAGGAAGAATATGACATTGGAAAAGAAAATGATGATTGTGTAAGAGATCATGTAAATGAAGAAAAAGAGATTGATGCCCAAGTGAATAGTAACTGACTTGATGAAAGGCAGAAAAATTGAATGTTCATGACATTTTCTTCCCAATGGATTTGCAATAAATAAATAAATAAAAAAGAGAATGACATAGGATTATGCTTTTACACTCATTTGTATATGCTGGCTTTAATTTTATCTAGGAAGTCTGAAGTTTTTGTTTTGTGTCTTCCAATATTGGTTGACTAACGAGAAAATTGCAATCTTTTGTCAATGTTGTCCCAAGCTACACTCATCATCCCTTGTAAACGAGTCATGTCCAAGGCCTATCTTTTTTCTTTTTCTTCTTCTTTTCTTTTTTCTTTAAAGGGAGGATTTCAGTAACAAAGTGAATTTTCGAGAAAAGTCCATGGAGACCCCACACACTAGGGGTGAAACTTGGTCGGGCCGATCTACTGGAGCCTACGGCTCGGCCTACGTCAGGTCAGACGTGACCTAGTATATTTCGTAAAATAGGCCGGACTTGGGCCTTGAAAAAGTTTGTTTAATAAAAAGGTCATAGACCCACTTTCACAAGACCTGGACTATAAGCCTACAGGCCGACATATATTGTACTATTTATTTTAAATAAAATAAAATAGAGTAAGTATGTTGAAAAAGTTTGTTTAATAAAAAGGTCATAGACCCACTTTCACAAGACCTGGACTATAAGCCTACAGGCCGACATATATTGTACTATTTATTTTAAATAAAATAAAATAGAGTAAGTATGCCTTGAAGAAAAAGCAAAAGATATAAATTTAATCAATTGTAATTATTTATAACTTAATTATATTCGATTATATTTTAATAGAAATCTGACTTTATTTCTTATATAGGAGGAACCAACATCTCAACATGTTAGATTATGTACATGAATATATTAAAAGATTTTTGGGAGAGGTTATACTTACTACAAGCATCATGATGTGTTTGTTGAATTGATGTAATAATTTTAATTTACATAATATGGATTTATTTGTTGGATCTGATTTTTGCTTTTGAAATTATGATTTTGAAAATGACTTAAATGCATATTGTATAAGTTTTGTTGTGATTCATATTTGGATGAAATTATGATTTTTGATTTAGCAACAAAATTTGAGTATTTCATAAAGTTGATTCATAGTTCTGCTTGGAAGTTAAAAATTAACAGACTAACGGGCTAGGTCAGGCCATTTGTTTATTTATAAACGAGCCAAGATAGGCTAATAGTTAGACTTGTATTAGGCTTGAGCTAGGCCAAATTAAAATTTTTTGACGTAGACTTGGACTTTTCAGAGCAAAACTTGGCCCAACCCAGCTCACTTTCACTCCTAGCACACACTAGAGAAGAAAGGAAAAGGAAGTTAGAGCGGGAGTAAAGTGTATAAAGGAATATGAACTCACTATTACTTAACCAATTCTGCCAATGTTCTTAAAGTTAGAAAAAGTAATTAATATTTTATTAATTTTTTAAAATTAATGAATAATTAAACTTTTAAATTGATAATTATTTTAAAACAAAAAGAATATTTGGTCTTCCTTTCACCTCAAAAGAGTAATATGTACGGTAAGCATCCATTCAATGTCAATGCATACTCCACATTTATGATGTCTAATATAGTAGAGCATGCTAATGACATTTTCTTTTAGAAAAGTAAATCACATTCGGAAAATTGTGCTTCCAGTGTACCATGATGGCACACTCTTTCACATACCTTCAGCCTAATCGAATATGCGATTATATGAGCATAAAATTGACTAAATGAAGCACCATCTTTATTCGATGATTGAAAGGGTTGAATCTAGGTTAGCAATGACATTGAATCATGCAAATCGTAACGCACTTTCTTTACTGCAGAAAATATGTAGATAAGAACTAATGGAAAGTAGGATAATCTATAAATAAATCAGAACCCAGAATCACACTAACCAAGATAAGATTATGAAAAGGACAGAACATATCAAAAAAATATGACACCAAGATAAGAATATGTAATATGTGATCCGGGACCATGGCATTTTAGAAAAAATGATGTGAACATTATGACAAAAATACTCGATGCTTATATTGATTTAATGCACAACATATATAATGTTTTGCCCAATAATGTGTGCTTTTGAAAATACCTAGGAAGCCGAGTCATCTCAAAGAAGTAATTAGGATTAGTATGTACATATATATATATATATATATATATATATATATAGGGATTTATATCTATCATTTAACATGATCACAAAAAATTTCCTACACACACAACATTTTGTGGGACCCGCATGTTTTGAAAAAAAAAAACTACGGCACGCAAAACGAATCTCTATAACATAACACAATCATCTTTCCTACAACATAACTCTTATAAAACCCATATATATATATATATATATCCACCCTCCTCAAAAATTGCGTTTTTAAAAATTTTCTTGAGTGTACGACAAAAAAACCTCGTCTTAGAATTTTCTTAAATCCCAAAATTAAGGTAGGGAAAAATGTTTATCCTTTTAAATGACACAATTTATATCTTTTCACTCTCACAAAGAGGTGGGACCCACATCTTTATTTTTTTTGTCAACTCTCTCTCCTCTTTTATCTATCTATTTCTCTCTCTTAAAATGACACAACTTTACATCCTTTAAAATGACACACACTTTAGCCATTAAGGTATTGCCTTTTAAGAATCCCATCCAACTAAAACTTAGCTGTCTTCAACACAATGACATCCTATTCCTAAATGAGGATTCTTGTTTAGATCAATAATCTGGAGGTTTATTTCATGCACATAATATCTTGTGATGAAACAATAATTAACAGTTAACACCAGTCGAAAGTGAAAATCAGAAGTGAAGATAAAGATAGAGCTCCCAATGGAAATAGCATAGAATGAAACATTATGTTCAATCATAGTGTGAAGTGATTCAAATGAATAATTTATCTTGAAAGTGTAGTACAAAAGATCAAATCACTTCGCTGATTGATCTTTAATTCCACATTATTAAATTACATTGAAATCAGCAAATGATATTTTGTGTTCTCCCTTTGTTCTTGCCTCCTTGGTGAGTGATAAATGTTCTGGTAGTCTGTAAAAGCCTTAGAGCATCCTTGGCATGATTCTAAAACAGTTACAAAGTAAAATGCTTATCAATCATGGGACGGGATTGTTGCCATCTAATGTTAGAAGCACCTTATATAAATCTGGACGCCGATCACGGAAAACTCCCCAACAATGTCTCATGGATTTGATTTTGTCCAAATCAAATTGAGCAATAAGAACAGCTTCATCTTTATCATCAGCAACTGAAACAATTTCTCCAGTAGGTCCTGCTTGTTGGAAAAAAAAAAAAGACAAAAGAAGCTAAAGAGAAGTTATGCCTGCAGCTAAATTTTTTCAAGAATATACAAAATGAAGAAAAAAAATGATTACAAATAAAAATAAAATAAAAGGTTGATATAAAAAATACAGAGGAAAGAGGGAATACTACACAGCAAGAAAAGATTAGTAAAAGGTAGATATGAATGTGAAAAAGCATAACATCTTTGAAATGAAGAGCTTTCCCACACTGGTCGAGGATTAAGGTTTGCTTCCATGCAGAAAAGAAAAACAGTTCAGTCAAATTACCTGCTATAAAGGAGTTTCCATAAAATGTTATCTCACTCTTTCCATGCTCAGTCTCAATTATCTCCTTTCCTATTCTATTTGAAGCCACAACAGGCACCTGCATTTTCCAAAATTAATTGATCCAATTCGTTGGAAAGTTTAAGCATGCATGTTTGCACAAGTGGTTAAGCCCTCTTGACATGTATTAAAATTAAAAAAAAGATGAGCAAACAATAAATTTCCTTTTCACTGATACATACTTCAGCATAGTATATCTTGGATTTGTCTATCCAACAACTATTGCTGAAGGAGTTCAAGACTAGGACTCCTAAATAGATATAGCCGCAGGCACATCATACATACATAGATTTAAGAAAGAGATAGGAGGATAAGGACCTCATAGACACGTACTATAGATGATAAATATCCGAGGAGGGTGACTAGTATACAAAACATACCAAATTGGCCCCAGCATGTCCTTGCATTACTCGTTTCCAATGGTCACGAGAGTCAACGCTTTCATCATGAGGTTCAGTCCCAATTGCAGTAGGATAAAGTAAAATCTCAGCACCTTGAAGCACCATTGCTCGGGCTGCCTCAGGAAACCATTGATCCCAGCAAATAGCTGATACCGAAATTAATTAAAAAAATATTGTCAACTTCAGTCTTCCCTTCATTCAGCTTAGTTTTCTTTCTGGAAGAAAGATGAAAAAAGCAACTTCTAAAATGTGTTTGGTTGCTATAGTAAAGCTAAAGTCAAATCTGGGGAAATATTCTTATAAATTCAATATCTTTCTATTTGTCTTAGAAATCTTGATACAACCACGTTACATAAGGTAGCATTTGACGTACAGACAGAACGGAATGAAACAGCATGGTTCTGTTATGTTCTCCTTGGTTCCACCCTTTTAGTGGAACCAAGTTGTACCACTTTTTTAACCCCATGTCTAGTTCAGTTCTGTCTGTAAAATGCACCAAACATAGAACATAACCCATATGTTATTTTCCATCCCATTCTAACATGTCAAAAAAATACACTCTAAAGGTTTGATATATACTTCTTATTGTACGGGCCAAAAGAACAGAATGTAAACAGTCATATTAATTGTAAGTTCTTACCAACTCCAATCTTTGCAAATTTAGTCTGGAAAACCTGCAAGGCAAAAGCCTCAATGTTACAAGATGTTCATCAGCCGCAAAACCAAGTTCGAATAAGGCTATCCTATGCACCCACCTTAAATCCAGTGTCCCCTGGATTAAAATAGAATTTTTCCTCATATCCTGTAGGGGAGATTTTTGACCGAGTTAGGACAATTGTACACATACTAAATGACACATAAATGACCTTAATATTGCATACCTGGTCCATCTGGAATATGGGATTTTCTGTAAATCCCAAGATCAGTCCCATCAGCATCGATTATGGCTATTGAATTGTAATGGGCATTGTTTGCCTCCTCAAAGAAGCTAACTGGTATGACTACACCTAACTCTTTTGCAAGTTTCTGCATCCTATATTATGTACAATGAAACAAGAATAAGATTCACTACATAATGATGCACATAAAAGACAGCCAAGATTTGTTCCTCTGTCCCTTAAAAAGCACCATAATATGGTTCCAGTCCACTGAGTAGGATGCCAGCACTGACTGAGAAGCAGATAGCAGAAGCCACTTTCTCACTTCTTTTACCTCAAAATTGTAGGATGGCCCTTATATGGCTTAGCTCTTTGAATGAAATCCTCTCTTTGTGCCTGACAGAAGTAATAACCTTCAAAGAGTTCCTGAAATTAGTCATGCATCATTAAGATGATCCAAACACACAACCCATCAGGTTTTCTGTCAGAAGTAACCAGTCCAGTAAAATTTCTATCTCTACACTGATATGAATATGATACATGAATCTATTTTTTCTACATAAACATCAAAAGTTATTAAAAATCCCTTGCGTGGTCAGTAGTTTTAAAGCTAAATAAAACTCCAGCAAAAAGCCAAAAACATTTTATCAATGTCAGCAATGACAATCAAGAATCTTCAGCATTATTAAGAAATCAATATTACATATTTAGTGTAATAGTCTAGTAGATAAATAACTAATGCAGAAGTAGAACAGTAATTTATTCAAATCTAATCTAAATTCCATTTTACAGAAAACATTCTGCTAAAGAACAATTCGGCTTCCTTTCTGACAGATTATCTCACTATATTTCTTATAGAGCATATCAAATAGTATGACTCAAATCAAAGTCCTTGACTATAACCTGCTAAGATTTGTAATATAGTATACATGATAGAAAATAGTTATATAAAAGAAATATCATCGTATGAAAGGCTTTATACAATCTACTTAGTGAATCATACACGACGAGAAGTCATCTTCACGTAAACTGATAAACTAACCAGATCTATGCTTCTAAGTTCTAACCCACAACCACAATATTTGCATTATTTTGCTGGAGCTTGCTCCTTCTCCACAATATTAAGATTTAGTTGTATCAAGGACATGAAAGAAATGTTAATAATGGCATCTAAAAGATGTGGAGGGTGATTTTGAAACCAAGGAATGAAGAATACACATAGAATCCCCCGTTGTTGCATACATATTCTACTTGATCTTTATAAAAGATTGTTAAGGCATTATATCTTCTATAATTGAATGTCAAATATGCACACCTGAATGAGAACAATGTTTGAACCCTGTTTATGAGCAGCTCTAACTAGCCTGCATAAAAGAGTGAAAAGCATCACATGACATGAGTAGACATTTTGTTTCTGCCATTGATTAATCTACAAATTATCTCTAATTTACAAAAAAACTAAATAGGAAACAAAAATGAAGCTAAAAAAGTAGCAGACAGAAACACAAACAGAATCCAGTAGACAGAACTGAATTGATTTTTTTACATCTAAATCGCAAAACAAAAACTCTACCAAGAAACTCAAAATTAAGCTTCTATCCTGCACGTAGAACAGAAGCAGAGTGCTAGCAGCAAGAACAGTGTTGAGCATTCAAGAACATCGCAGGATAGAATCATTAACTACTAATCCGAACTGAGTCCAGACAATGAAAAGTACAATTTTCTAGCTATATAAAGATAACGTAAACAGGAACCATTTTTTCCTAGTTGGGATTCATAAAAAAAAAAAAAAAAAAAAAAAAGGATCAGGCCCAAGATTAATTAAGAGAAATTTGCAGCAACATAACAGCTATTTCCCAAACTACAGACACTGATTTAAGCACTGTTAAGTTTGTCTTGTGCACTTCACCCAAAGAAAGTTGTCACATGCAATTCAATTCAAATGTTTATACAGTTCCTTTTAAATGTGAGCGATACTCAGATGAGTCAGATCATGCAAGAGCTAAAAATGAAATCTTTTTAACCTGGGCAGCTCATAAACTTGTAGACCCTCGTCACCGAGTTCAGAAATTTAGAGCATGATTTGGGATTGCAAGAGCGAACAATTCGAAATTAATTCAATTCCAGATATGGGGTTTGATTAAAAAATAAAAATGGAATTTTTAACAACAGCGATGATTCACATGGCTCGAGGTGATGGCGTATTGATTAGAAACATGAAGAAAAGAAAAAAAAAAAGGTGGTAAGAAAGACCTCTCGGCGGTGGCGACATTGGTTGAGACATCATCGGTACAGGCAAACTGTAGCGCCGACACCACCACGTTTCTCGCCTTCTCCATCTGCAGCAACTACACACAACACAACGTAAGGATAGGCACAACTTTTGTGCTCAGAATATATTTGCCTCAAGCAATTTGAGTTTGGGGATAGACGAAGGTAAAGGAATAAGCTTTTTCTAAAGACTTTAGAGTTGTCCCAAATTGGCAAATTGCAATCAGCTTTCGTTGCAACTGGAGGTGCTCACTCGATTTTTGACCAGACCACTTTTTTCAAAATAAAACCAGTCCCAATCAAAACCACTAGGATGAGTGCAGTGCCAGAGTACGATGTTTAATTATTACTATTGTATCCAATCACTGTCTAAGTCAACCAAATGGGACAGCTAACTTAGGCGATAGGTGAATGGGAAATTATGTCTATTCGATTCCCACGAATATTACTCTTCCATACTGAAAAAAGTGATAACGTGATTATATTATTTAGAGTAAACATCTTTTTTAATCTCTGGAAATATCTATGAAGTTCTTTTTAGTCTCTGACAATAAAAAAAAGACCAAATTGGTCCCTAAAATTACAAAAAAGGGTCATGTTAGTTCTTATGTCAACTCCCAAATATGTAGAGTGGCCATTTTCTTGTACTTTCAGGACCAATTTGGTCCTTTTTTATTGCCAGGGACTGAAAATGACTTCATAGATATTTCCAGGGACTAAAAAGGGTGTTTACTCTATTATTTAATCACAATTATTTATTTAAAAAATTTATATATTTTTTATCTCATAATAAGTGATTGTTATCAAATAATATGATCACATTCAAATCCTTGTGGAGGGATAATGACTAAGACTAGGACTTGGATTGATCTTATAGCCGACTTAAAGAATTTAAATTTATAAAGATATTAAAGATTCTACTCGCCTTAAAAAAGTAATTAGAATTGATATTAAAAAAAAAAAATCAAGACAAGAATTAACCAACTCGATGTTTAAATAAAAATAATTGATTCATAAGATACCAAATAAAAAAAATCAAAAGTGTTACTACCAATCAATTTTACTGTTAGATCGATTATGTGAATCCAACGGTTATATTTATTTTCATCTTTGTATGGTTATGATTCCTCATATTTAATGTGAAAGCATTAAATATGAGGAATCATAACCATACAAAGGTATAAATAAATATAAAATATGGGGAATCATAACCATACAAAGATAAAAATAAATATAACCGTTGGATCAACACAATCGATCTAACGGTGAAATTGATTGGTAGTAACACTAACATTAATTGGTTGTTACAATATCTTTCCCCTTAGTATTCTGCCTACTCTTAATTTGCTTACTTTTTTTTTTTTTTTTGTAAATTAATTTGCTTACTTTTGCCTACCCCTCTCAACAACGTTAGATTATAATTTTATCCAACGGTGGATATTTGCAGAATAAAATAAATTCTTTTAGCAATTTTGTTCTCCTCACTGCCTCTTACCCTTTCTTTCTCCTCCTCCTCCCCTTTCTCTCTTTTGATGAAGACAGAGACAAAGAAGCACATACAATCGAAATCCATTATAAGTTTGAATTGCTTTTTTGTTCACATCTATTTGTTATAACTATGGTAAAATAGTTATGTTGAAAGTGGTTGATGCCCAAAATGCCAATAGTATGACAATTATTTGAATACCAAACCCTTAACTTTATCTCTCTTCAATGGCGCTTCAGCAACTAACTGAGTACAGACACAAGCGACTCGATAAGATCGCATGAGGATGAAATCAACTAATTAACCTAAGATCCATAATTAAATAATAAAGTGAAGTTGACATATGTGATTGATTAGCAAACTCTGACAAAATTTGGAATAGTATCAATTAGGTCAAAGAATCCTTGGCGAAAGAGAAACACCTTTTAAATTTTGAATTTTTGAGTCTGTCTTTTATAAAATTTCAAAATTGATGGTAGGCTTGACGAAATGATGGTCATTCAAGGAGGTGGGAGGAGAGAGAAAAGGTAAGAGGCATTGAGGAGACAAAAATTGGTAAAAGAATTTATTTTATCATGCAAATATCACCGTTGAATGAAATTATAATATAACGGTGTTGAGAGGAATATGCAAAGATAGACAAATTAAGAGTAGGCAGAATAACCTATCCCATTATAAAATATTAATACATATGCAATTTGATAATTAATGACAAATTAGCTCTTTATTTATTTGATATTACTTTATTCATTATTTCATTTTACTAGGTGCCCAAAAAATTAAATAATAAATTTACATTATGCAAGATTTCAACTATAACCTTATCATATAAATAACTAAAATAGGGTGTAAAAATATACGTGTAAATATTGCTTCTCTTTCAAGTTTTTGCACAATGAAATCCCCTTATTTGCAATTCAATTCCTTCTTAATAAAAATATGTTTTTCCCGTTAAAAAATAATAAAGAAATAAGTCCATATGAATTGAAAACCAAAGAAAAAGAAAGAAAGTGAAACAACCAAGGATGGAAATGGCCAAATGGGAGATTCTGCTGCCATCTGTTCTATTTACCCTTCAAGCATTATATTACATGGTGTCACTACTATCTGTGGTAATTCCAGAGACATTATTTCGTCCTCTCTCACGCCTGTTATAAACCAAGTCCGTAAAATCTAGTAACATCTTAAACTTCTTTTCTTCACTGTCTCACCATGCCAACAAAGGGCCAATATAAATGGTCAGTCATATGACATCAGAAGTTTAGAACAACAGTCGAGAAACTGAATTATGAAGTTCCTCATGCAAAAGTAGTATCTACAAAAGTCATCTTTAAAACATTAGTAATATGATAGAAGCAAATCACAGTAGAAGTATCATGGAACAAAAACAGAGTTGGTGTGGGGTTATTCATTTGTGTGACTGCTTCTTCTACCAAAACCACCGAGTACATGCACCATTGAAATCTTCAATCCTGCACTTCTGGCTTCTTTGCAGTGCCTTTAAGGTACCACCCCATAGCAGCAATAATTGTTATAGTACCAGCTACAACTGCATAATTCCGGTTCTTGTCAGTTGAGACTTTGTCAGCTGAAGTTCCTGTGGCTCCTGATGAACTTGGTTTAGCATCAGTTACTGAACCCCCTGAGCCAGCAGTTGACGTTGCTTCAGGTTGAGGGCCCTAAATAAGAATAAATATTGAACATATCAGAAAAACTAACATTTATCCTCCAGTTAGAGAGCAATTGAGAAAGATTTAACATGGAATCAATTTTCATTGTAACCTTAACACTACTTGCCACAGAGGTGGTGAAAATAAGAAAGTAAGTGAAACTGAAAGATTCAAGAGTTTGTCAATCAACGGTCATAATATCATTCTCAAGTTTTGGCGAATGGTCCACCATGTAATAATCCTGAATACTGAGAAATCAGAAAACTAAATGCAGAATTATGAGTTAATGAACCAACAAAATATCAATAAAAATCCAATTCAACAGCTAGGAACTTTCAAGCACTGCAGCACGTAATCTGCTGAAATCATAAAACATATACCTTTCGAGCAAGCTTCTCCAACTTCTCTTGCTCAGCTTTCTGCAATATTAAAAATAAATAAACACTGTAAACAGAAACAATTTACAAGAAAAAGCCTCTAACAATGTGAGTAACAGACAAAGAAACTCTACCGATGAAAAGTAGCATGTCACTATATAATAATAATTGAGTGGATTAGGAGAAGATATAGATGCATAATTTAAATTTCAAATTTATAGCAACATGTATATAGGAGGTCTTGATTCCTTGAACACCAATCTATTTTCTAGACAAGTGGTAAAACTGAAGATCAAGACACAGCAAAGTAAACAAATCATTTGTTTCCTCAACACGCACAGAGGATGCATAACTGACTATTGCAGCTAACAACAATTTTTCACAAGCATTGGTTCAGAGAGAGAGAGATTAATGATAGTCCACCATTTGCAAACGAAAATGCCAAAGATAAAATAAAGGATAAACTTTTCAATACACTATCTCTAAATATCGGAACAGTGACCAAAGTGCCACTGTTGGCAAAATTTTTTACCAAACTGCCACGCCAACAGTAAATTTTGCCAAAATGCCACGTGGCATATTTCGCTACACTGTGTAGCGAAATATGTGTGCAAATAATTCGCTACACAGTGTAGCGAAATATGCCACGTCAGAACCAAAAATGCCATGTGTCAAAATTTGTAGCGAATTTCTCCAATTTTGACACATGGCATTTTTGGTTCTGAGCATTCTGACGTGGCATGTTTCGTTACACTGTGTAGCGAATTATTTGCACATATTTCGCTAGACAGTGTAGCGAAATATGCCACGTAACATTTTGGCAAAATTTACTGTTTGCGTGACAGTCTGTTAATTTCTTTTGCTAACATTGCCAAAATGGTCACTGTTCCCTAGATATCAGTCCTAGAACAATCAGATTGCAAATATGCTGTGAAGGGGTAATAAAGTAAAACTAGAAATTTTCCAAACACTGATGAGTGATGACACCACCCCCTTTTTCATTTTGAAACAATTAACATTCAGCCATAGTAGGATAAAACTTAAGCAAACAAATGTGAATGTGAAGCAAGAATAGAGATGGAGGTTACCTTAAAATAAGCATTTTCTGCAGCCTTTTCCTCCTCACTAAGTATTTTGCCACTACCACTGCTAAATAGCCTTCTAGATGCAAACCTAGCAGCAATAATCTTTGTTGCCATGCTAGCTGGTAATTGAAACATAACACAAATTACATATATAATAGCAATACCATACTACAACTAACAATAATTATCAACTCCAGAAAGAAATTGCATATTTGTTAATAGGCACGAAGATTACAAATCAAACTTGGAATTAAATAATAATTATAATAATAATCACCAGACAGACACAATCCAGAACCGATTGAAGTGAGAGATGAGACAAGGGAGTGACGCTCAAGTTTTCATCAGGTTTAAATACGTCGCCGTTTGGAACCAGTTCATACTATTTAACGGATCTGGGTTAATTGGGCCGTTGTTTCATTAATGGGTTAAGCTCAGGCCCATGTGGGCCCAACAGAATGCCAAATCTGAAAACCCTATAATTCAGATTCGGAACTTAACCTAGACTAGCACCTTGTTGCACTCCGAACCGAAATGGTGAGTACTGGCTACAGATTCCATTGTTATAATTTTTGGATTTGAATTTCAGGGTTAGGGTTGTTGTTGGGATTAGATTAGCTCAAATTTTTTGTGGGTTTTTTTGTGACAGGCACCGAAGAAGGAGAAGGCAGCGGCTCCGTCGTCGAAGCCGGCGAAGTCAGGAGGAGGAAAGCAGAAGAAAAAGAAATGGAGCAAGGGAAAGCAGAAGGAGAAGGTCAACAACATGGTATTGTTTGACCAAACAACCTACGACAAGCTTATCTCCGAAGCTCCTAAGTACAAGCTCATCACTCCATCCATCCTTTCCGACCGATTGAGGGTACAAACTTATGTTATAATTTAATTTTTATTTTTTCAACATTAATTAATATATGGAAAAGTATAATGTAACAATCAATTACCGTTAGTACCAAAATTACTACCTATCGTTACTATCAATTAATTTCATCATTTTACAACGATTATATTTATTTTCATTTTTGTGTGGTTATGATTCTCCATATTTAATAATTTATATTTATTGTCACTGTGGTTATGATTGAGCATATTTAATATTTTTACATTAAATCCGGAAATCATAACTATACAAAAGATGAAAATAAATATAATCGTTGGATTAACATAATCGATCTAACGATGAAATTGACATTCAAATTGACATTGGTAGTAGGAGTACTTGCTCATTGGTAGTCACACTACTTGCTCACACTACTTGCTTATTGGTAGTAACACTACTTGCTCATTGTTAGTAACACTGCTCTTGGTTGTTACAATATCTTACTCCTTAATATATACCAATGTTTTGTTTTTTTTTCATTCATTAAATTTTATTTTTTATTTTATTTTTCTCTACTGATGTAGCTTGTTATGTTATAAAATCACAATACCACTTTGGAAGAATGTAAATTTGGAACATTATTTTTTGTTCTGAATTACTTTTGCTCTGCCATTTTCAGATTAATGGATCTTTGGCTCGTAGGGCAATCAAAGACTTAATGGCAAGAGGTGCAATTAGGCTCATAGCTGCTCATGGTAGCCAACAAATTTACACCAGAGCCACCAATGCATGAATGAACGGCTTGAAGATGCTTCTTTATGAACAATCTTCTGAGGACGTGTTTTGTTTTCATCATTGTTACAAGTTATACTTTTCGCTATTTATTTTGTTAAAGATATTTATGAAACTTTGTTTCTAAGTTAATGGCAATTTTGTATTAAAAACTTGATCGATGCAGCAATGCAGAGACAAGAAGAAAAGGTTATGATTGGCATGGCATGTTGGATTTTTTAATTAAAACGTTGAGTTGAAGTAAAGTTATGGGAAGAGCTAAAACGAAGGATGCAATTAAAAAAGAAAGTGTTCGTCAATATAATATAGTATGCGTGTGAGGGCTTAAAATATTTTAAACTTCATCAATTCTGTTGTTAATATTTTTTTAGATTTTGCGCCAGTGTGATATTCATACAAGAGTAAATATTCTTTTTGGTCTCTAACAAAAAACATGGTTTTCACTTTAGTCCCTTACAAAAATAAATTAGTCAATTAGTCCTTAACAAATTCAAAGTGGATTCATTTAGTTGAAATCGTGGTTCCTTACAAATTCAAAAAAGACCCATATTAGTCTTTCAAAAGTACTAAAATGGGTCCACTTTGAATTTGTTAGGGACTAACTGACTAATTTATTTTTGTAAGAGACTAAAGTGGGGACCGTATTTTTTTGTTAGGGACCAAAAATGGTGTTTACTCTTGATATAAAAACTGAAGAAGATTTTGCCGTCCATGTGGTTTCGAATCCAGAGAGGCAATCTGAAAATCTTGGAGGCTTTTACGAAGCACATTGGTGTTTGTTATTGATTGTGTTTGAGTTAGAAAACAGGTAAGCCTGGACTTATAAAGAATATGCTGCTAAGAACAAGGTGCTACTGCCTTTCGTGTCTTGGTAAATCAATGAGCTAGTCTCAGAGATATTGGTTACTTGGTTATTTACATTATTGATAAAAAAAAAAAAGTATTAACCATGTAACATGTGCAGTACTGTTATGCCACTCGATAAAGAACAGACTGGTGTTTGATACCAGAAGTAGGAGCTCATTTTTTGTGTATTAGGAGTAGATATTCCTTTATTAAAAAAGGAAAAATATATGATATGATTGGAAATAATTATAAAGATGAGGGTAGTGTAAAAGTATTATCTTTTGCCATGTTTAATGAATAATGTATCGAGTATTCGGTAGGATGGGATTACCGAAAATATTTTCCAGAATTGTATACAGATTAAATAAGGCACTGGGAAAGGGAGTTTGGTTTGGCATCCATTTCATAATTTAAAATTAGTTTCATGAATTTCGAAACAGAGTCTTCAATGAACAAAAACAAATTGACTTACTGTTTTATCTATGTCATACAAACTTTGTACGTTGATCGTGGGTATAATTATTTTAGTACAAAATGCTTGCCATACCAACAGAAAACTGATGAATATTTTCCTAATGAATTTAATTTGAGAGGGTTTTATAAAATTAGAAACGCATTAATTATTCCGCTCATGTTATGTCATGTTTCCTTTTGTCGTTCCATTTTCACAGTGACAAAAATATTTCAGCCAATAATCAAGTACATTGATCAATTGGTATGGGTCCAACTAATAAAAGGCTCAAAGGGCTCAAAGACCATTACTTGGTGAGGGAGGAAACACGACCATCCTGCATCAATTGCTCAGACAATTGCGGCCATGCGACATCAGTTGCTCGGGACAGTTCCACCCTCACATGGATCAATAACATAAATATAGGTACCAGTTTGTCAATATATCTATGAAGACCTAGCCTAGATATAGGTATCCCGCCCTGGGTATAGCCTATGAAGACTGCTACTCTCAACCAATAAGGATGAATACCATCGAACCAAGGCAGTACAACTAGAATGCTCGTCTACTATAAACATAAAGGCTTTAAGCCCAGATATGACCATATTCCCAGATATGAACATAAAGGCAGTACTTATTGACTTGAGTGTCAAAGTGCTTTGCCAGTATCTCCCCCCAATCTCTTCAACTCACCACAAGACAGCAACCACAGACGAAGCAATCTTGCAACCTTACCAAGCATCTCGCCCTAGATACTCAGCCCAAATCTGAACCTTTTCATAGCAGGCCCAATTGTGTGTGATCCAACTTAATAGTTTTTTGACTGATCATTGGCGTTGTGTGAAGACTACTAATCGTATTGAATGCAAGCTATGGAGTAAAAGAATTAGGCACAATCAGATTATTGGTAGTAATGGGAGAGCTATGTAAGTTAAATATGAAAATTCTCACTTAGTTAACATAAATATTATCTAAACCTTTAGCAGGCTTTAGTGGGGATAAACTATCTATAGTATAAAGCACCAGTCTGCTAAGGAATTGCACACTAAGAACGTTCACAGAGTATCTCAATGGCTTTTTAAGTTTATTCATGTTTTTTAATAAACTCTTTACTATTTTATTTTATTTTTATATTTTTAGTTTGAAAAAAGATAAGGGAGAGAAGAGAATACCCCATTACACAGCCAGGGCATGCCACAAGCCTTAGCAAGGGCTTTGGCTTAAAATGGTACTTACAGATCACTTATTAATTTGAGATTGCAGTAAAGTCTCGAAGGGTTGAAAAAATAGCTCATCCTGAAATTGTATTTTTGCATGAAAATACACTTGGCTTGAAAAGTAGACTGTTAGCATCAAGTGACATCAAAGAAAGAGAGAAAAAAGACAAGCACGAAATAAACCTCTCATTGTATTATTAGTAACTAAATCGTATTTACACTGTAAGTGTCTTATATATATACAAGTCTTGTGACCTAAAGTTAGTTAGAGTTTGTTACATTAAATGGGCCTTAAGCTACTGGGCTTTCATCCCCCCTCAAGCGTAGTGGGCTGGAATCGCAGGACACAAAGCTTGGTTTGAAAGTCGACAAATTTGGCATGAGAGACTGCCTTTGTAAAGCCATCAGCTATTTGGTTAATGGCTGGAATATGGTGCACTGTTATGAGCTTATTGAGGACTTTTTCTCTTACAAAGTGAAGATCTAGTTCAAAGTGCTTTGTCCGTGAGTGGAAGATCGGATTAGCTGTGAGCATCATAGCTAACTGGTTGTCACAGTAAACAGTGGGTGGTCGAGGAAGAGGTATTTGAAGTTCAGACAGCAGAGATCGAAGCCATGTGACCTCAGCAACTGTAGCAGCAAGGCAACGGTACTCTGCCTCCGTGCTAGAACGACTTACAACATGCTGCTTTTTGGAAGACCAGGTGATGAGGTTGGCACCAAAGAAGATACAAAAGCCACTGGTGGAGCGACGATCATCTAAGTCAGATCCCCAGTCAGAGTCATAGTAGGCAGAGAGGTGAAAGTGAGTTGAAGGATTGATAATCAAACCATGTTGGATCGTTCCACTGAGATAACGGAGGATACATTTCACTGCTTTCCAATCGGAGTCTAGAGGTGTTTGCATGTACTGACATGCCTTGTTGACCGAGTATGCTATATCAGGACGAGTGATAGTTGCATATTATAGTGCACCAACCACCGATCTGTAGAGAGAAGGGTCAGCAAATGGGGAACCATCAGAAGAAGACAACTTTATACTCGAGATTATTGGTGTTGGCATCGGTTTACAGTTATGCATGTTGGCTTTGATGAGAAGATCAGTGATGCACTTTGATTGATGAAGATGTAGACCCCCACTGAGTGTTGGTAGAGTCTTAATGCCCAGAAAATAATGGAGTGGACCAAGATCTTTGAGTGCAAATGCCTTGTTGAGGGACTGAATCAGTGAGCTGATAGCTGAAGAGGATGAGCCAGTGACAAGTATATCATCGACATAGACAAGGATAAATGTGGTATGAGTTGGTGTGAAGGAAACAAATAAGGAGCTGTCACACTTTGTGTTGGTGAATCCTAGATGATGCAGAGTGGAACTCAGTTTATCAAACCAGGCACGAAGAGCCTGTTTGAGGCCATAGAGTGCTTTTGTGAGCTTCCAAACTAATAATTTGTCAGAGACCAAGAACCCATGAGGTTATTGCATGTAGACATCTTCATGAAGCTCATCATTGAGGAATGCATTGTTAACATCCATTTGATGTATTGGCCAGCTTCTTGATAAGGCTATGGTGAGTATTATGTGAATGGTTACAGGTTTGACTACAGGACTGAATGTCTCCTGATAGTCAAAGCCTTCTTGTTGATGAAAACCTTTTGCTAGTAACCTAGCTTTGTATTTGAGAATGAAGCCATCTGGTTTGTATTTAGTGCGAAAAACCCACTTGCATCCAATAGGTTTTCTATCTGAGGGAAGAGAAACTAACTTCCATGTGTTATTTTTCTGCAGGGCAGTGTACTCTTCTTGCATAGCTTGCAACCAATTTGGTTGAGATAGTGCTTGTGCAACTGATGTGGGCTCAAGAGTAGTGATGTAAACTTTGGGCTTGTATATACCAGCTTTGCTACGGGTGATCATGGAGTGATGATTGATTGGAGAACTGGTGATGGTTGAGGTGATGATGATGCTGGTATGCAACAGGAAGTACCATTATTTGATGGAGGATGAGAAGATGCTAGTGAGGATTTTTCTGCTTCTGCTGGAGGAGTTGTTGTCCTGCAGTTAAAGTTAGGAGAAATAGAAGCAGGACAAGTAGAGTTAACAGAATTAATAAGAGAACCAGAAATATGTGTGTCACACTGATTGGAGGTTGTGGAAATAATGGGGATGGCAGGTATAGTAGTGAGAGGTTGTGATGTAGTCGAGGATGATGAAGTGGGCAAGGAAATATTTTTGGTGTAGGAAAAAAGAAACTCATCAAAGATGACATGTCTGGCAATGATAATTTGACCAGAGGGTGTAAGACATTTGTAGCCCTTGTGTGTAGTAGTGTAGCCTAGAAAAATGCACTGTTCAGATCTAAACTCAATTTTGTGTTTGTTATATGGACGCAAATATGGATAGCAGGCACAACCAAAGGGTTTAAGAAAATGGTAGTCTGGAGTTTGTGTAAAAAGAATTTCAAGTGGAGATTTATTTTGTAGAGTTGGAGTTGGTAGTCTGTTAATGACATAGGTAGCTGTAAGAAAAGCATGGTCCCAGAATTTGGTGGGAAGATGAGAAGCTGCTAGGAGGGCTAGGCCAGTTTCAACTATATGCCTATGCTTGCGTTCAGGTTTGCCATTTTGCTGATGTGTATAGGGGCAGGTGAGCCTATGGAGAATGCCATGTTGTTGGAGAAATAGGGTGAGTTTGAGGTATTCTTTAGCATTGTC